GTCTGTATTTTGCCTCTAGTCACAGCAGTAAGATAACAGGGTTGCAGCTAGTACTACATAATCAAGGTGGAGTAATAAACACCAATAGCATTGTGAGCAGCCACTCTCAGGCATCTGAGGATTTGGTTCATATGATTCCTCTGTTGTACCTTTTATCTCCTATTCCCTTGATTTTCCTTTCTTGTATTATCTCTTCCTGCTTTCTTTCCTTTTGTCCTCACCTATCTTCTCTTCTTTACCTTTCTTGATACCTTTTTCTGTATTCATCCTCCTAACTCCATCAAATTCAGATGCTCACAGGTCCAACTCTTGCTGCCCTTCCAGCCATTGAACAGATACTCCCTTGCGAGATATTTCTTTGTTTCTTCCCAAGGATTTATTTGAATTTGGTGATCAAGGCAGGTTGTATGTTCGGTGTATAAAAATTAAATTGAATGCTGAAGAGAATGGAGAGCTCTGGAGTGGAAATACCATCTTGCTTCACAGACCATGCAGAAGTGCACCCGGCCCAGTGGTTCATTTTCATCCTTTGATCCTTTTCACTTTTGATATGGGTGCTATGGGGATGATTTGGGTTATTTAATTGTTGGCCTGAACAAAGAAATCTGCCTATATGAAAGTGCAGAGAAAGAGTTTTGTCATTCCTCAGCTACATATATCTGGCCTGGTAGTGACAAGTAACTAGATTTTCCTCATCACTGAAACACACATGCATTTTAGGATTGATAATAGGAATATTTCCAGACATGCCGTTGTTCACAACTGGAGTTGGCATGGGACAAGGGCAATTTGTGCTTCCATTTGTGTGTTAACCACAATTTAGACTTGAGGGAGGTTTTTTATGAGTAATACCTGCAGAACAGATTATGCCAAAGTGATGATTTGTTTCTGTCAATTACTAATGCTTCTCTTTCAGTGACTTTGAATGAGTACAAAAATGTCCAGTCTATTACAAGCTATTTTGTACCTATGATCAGTTAATGATGGTACCTTCCAGTTCCTTTCCAGGTGCAGTGTAGGGTGCTATTTTAAAATTGTAAATCCTTTGTCAGCTTAAGTGATGGTAACCTGAAATGTCCTTTTCTACAGCCTCTGTCTGTATGCCTGAATGATCTGAGGTGTTCAAGTTAGAAGCCCTATAAAAATTTCTGGGCCAGCTAAAAGAGGCATTCTTCATAAGGTGTCCTCAATAGGAGGGCATCCTTCCTCTTTGAGATCGTTATTTTCCCTCACTTTTGCTGCAGAGCTCATTTGCCATCTCAGAACTTTTTTACTGAACAAGACGAAGCTGTAAATGATGGGAAGATCTTGGGCTAGGGAAGGATTTGTCACCTGTTAAGGCCCAGTTTTGAAAGATATTGCTTTAAAATCTTCATTTTGTTCTGAAAAGAAAGGACTGTATCCTGCTATTAAATATTCTGAAAGACGAGGTGTATTTTCTTCTTTTGGAGGACTTTGTTTCCATTTCTTTATACCCCGCGATGTGTGGATAACACCTGCAGTAGAGAGTTCCTAGCAGAGCATAACAGATCATCATCGACAGCAACTTCTTTTTCAATAGTCCTGTCTTGGAAATATCTTCAGTCCTGAAGAGCATTGAGAGTGCCTGATATGTGTGTGTAGGAATGAAAAAGGAAGCACACAGCTGATAAATTGACGTATTTACCTAGATATAAGGAACTAGAAAATTTAATTTGAAACCTGGAGAAAAACCTTCATGTCATGACCAGTGTTCATCAATACTTAAACCTGCAATAACACCCCTAAACACATGCGTTTGAATCCTCAGCTGGATAAACTGTGATGGTGCTAGTGAGTTTAGCAGTGCTCAGTCAGTGTGTGCCCGTGGGGTCTGGGTATCCAAGAGCAGATTGATTCCATTTACCATAGGAAATTGTCTCTAATCAATACCTATTTGGTTGCACAAAAGAAAAGAAATCAGAATCCTGAAATGTGCTGAGTAAATTTAAAATGCTGCTCGGGACTTTACCTATGTCTGATACCAGCCCAAGAAAGAACAGAAAACCACTTTCAGCTTCAATTCTGCTTACTGTAGAGCAAACAGAGCCCAACCATTTTACTTAATATTCAAACATTTCTTTAAGAAAAATCTTGTTGCACAAAGTAATATGTTTCCAAGTATTATTCAGTACAATGCTCAAAAGCTTGTTTGGATAGTTATTCAAGTAAACACTGAAATACTCAGAATCAAAGGAAATATGCACTAGAGCTACACGGCATTATTTAAATAGCTCAGAGGGGTTTTATTTAAAAGAGAGTGAGTCACTGTTGAATTTTAAAGAAACATGCTATTTAAGTCACCAGTGCATAGAGGGGCCCCTATCATTAGCATTTTTCTTCTTGACACTAATTTATAGCACAATGTAGCATTGCATCAAATCATTGTCAAACAGATAATGCCAATGCTCCATTCAGAGCTTTCACATCAGCTGCAAAATGACAGATAACAAGACTGCTTTTGCCTAAATAAAGCAATGCATCTGTTAGAGTCCTAAATGACTTTTTGCACGGGGTGTTCTTCAATTAAGAAAACTCAGGCAAGCTGTGGAGATGTGTTGGAATGAATCTTGACATACTGAAATACCTAGAAGGAGAGAGTAAAGCTATTCATTACCCAGTGAAATGAAAACCATTTCATGTAGGCTATTGAGATTCAGCAGCACTCACCAAAATATATTCTACCCTCCTTTAAAAGTAGGGTGAACAAACCAGAACATAACAGAAGCAACTCCACAAAGAAGAATGCTGAACACTACACAGCTGAAGTCAAAGTCACACGCAACCTGTGTGGAGAGGCATCTGGACCTTCTGCTCCCAGTTATCTTACCAGATAATTTCATAGGGACTAGGAAGGCCATAAATAAATTGAGAAAATCTTACCTTAAGGTCCCAGGAACTATTATTACCTATGCTACAAAGCCCTTTTGCAAGAGTCCAGAATACAGGGCTGATTTATCCTCTCCTCATTCTCACATAACTTTCTATCCCAGGTAAGATAAGGACTGTACATTCCTCCTACAAGAGTTTCTACTATGGTATCTCTAACCAGGACCGCACGCTAAAAGGTCTGTCATGCTACTGCGGACTGGGGGATAGAGCAGATGTCCCAAATATTCTCTTACCTTTCTAATATCTTAGCCCTGGACTTCACACAGTAATTTAACCACTGTAGGTATTTATTTCTTCTGGAAAATGTCTTTAAATGGCCCAAACCACACATGCTCCATTTTCCAAGCTTACCTATATTGACCCTTTAAACATACCCATCTCCCTCCACCTATCTGTAGAAAAGCGTGTGCTTTCCTTTAAAACAGGTAGTAAACTATTCTGAGTGACCAGCAAAGTCTTAAAAACAGCCTTAAGCACCCACAAATATGTACTAAGCAAGTATTAAAAATCCTACCAATATTTTTCTCTCTGCCCCTTAAATTTCTCTCAAATCAGTGCAGCCAATGTTCCTCCTCTCCAATTCTCCCACTGTTGTTTGTAGATGCCCCAGTTGTTCCTACCCTCGGCTGCTTCTTTTGGAGGTCCCCAACCTAACTTCAAAGTTCCTCAGTTAAACCTGAGCAGCAAATTCGGCACTGTTCCAGCCTTTAACTTATTAAGGGGAAATCAAGAGGAACCTGACATCCTTCTATAGATCAAGCTGTGACCTGGACAGAAACAGCAGAGCTGTTCAGGCAGCGAGGTGGGAACCTCTGAAAGAAGAGCAAGGTCAGAAAACACCATTGAAAACACCAGGATCTCTGCTTGGAGATTAGAGGCTTAGCTCATCTGCATCCCCCTTCCTTTATTTTTGCAGTGGCAGTGAGAGGCAGAAGAAAGGAATTAGGCAGCTAAAGTGTTTTTTAACTGCCACTTGGCAATTCTCCCTGTGATGATGTAGGACTCATTTCGATTTCTTCTACCACATTCTCAAAAGACAGAAGCTGGTAGGTGCCCAGTAGATGCCAAAAGTACTCTTCTCAAACAATACAAGATAGATTATCATCTTCTAAATGAGTTAGAATTGCTGAACATAACTATTCATATAAGCAAAAGGGCTGAGCAGTACTTTCAGTCTGTTACCCAGGCAGGTAGATACGATCACACAACAGGAAAGAGTCATCACCAACAAAGTCAGATAACGTTAGCCATATCCAAGATACATTGGAGGTTTGTGGTACTGCACTTAATTCCTCCATACAGATGTGAACAGCACAATACTAGACAACAGAAAAAAAGATGCACATTGATTTCTGCACTTTATCATAGGCACTTATCCACAGCAACTCACAAATCTCATTGAGATTAAAGCTTAATAGCCTGCTGTGGCAGTGACGTTTCATTCCACCTGGATTTACCACATGATGAGGTATTTCCTAAAGAATATAAAGAAACATAAACTGTGGCTGTCAAAAGAAATTAACTGCTCATTTGTTTTTAATGTATTAGCTTGTCCTTTTAAGAAGTTTGTCTATGACTGTGTGATTGCAGAACTGGGCATTGCTCTGTATACACCTGCAGAATTGATAGGAATGACAGCTTTCATTCAG